CTTAAAATACTTTTTGCAGTATGCAGTGTTTTTGCAGAACGTAATATTAATGGAAAAGATTGATTTTATAAAATGTCTTTAAATGACCCCACCTGCTTCCATGTTCCCTCTCACAGCACTGGGCCAGGAAGTACTGACAACTTTGAGTACAAGCACCACCACTAGGACCTCCGCCCCCACCATGACCACGGTCACCACCAGTCCTATGGAAACCCAAACCACCAAAAACCTTACAAAACAGCCATTCAGTACAGCCACAACATCTCTAGATAGTATACTGACCATCTTGTTCATGGTCATTTTTCATTGATTCATAATTTGTAACGAATTTAATATAAGAATTTAATATAAGAGCCATTTAAAAACGGTACTAGACTACGTTTAATAGATTTTAATTCTTTATAGGCATTGTATATATAACTTTATAATTAATTGGTGATAGTGAATATAACATTTTGATTGTGATGAGTGTGTTGTAATGTAATCTAAAAGATCTGCCGACACTGGTGACATGTTCAGACTTTCCAAGTCTTAAACTGATGTATGTAACAGTTTATTATTCTTTGTGTATTCTAAGCCTGACCACCTTTCTTCTAAATTTTAACTTTTTATTCCTTAATCCTTAAGAACAGAGAGATCTGTTGCAATAAACCAGTAACCAAAGCAGGCAGTCAACTAATCAATTAGTGTAGAAGCAGTTCTGTAAGTAGTAATGAGCCAAAATTTATTCACACGTACAGGAAATGTCATTATTGCTCAAGGGTGTCAAACTATTTATTGAAAAGCACAGGTTCACATTATTTTTCCAACAAACTTTGACCACGCTGTTCAATAAATGATTTTAAAAGCATGTAGTCTGTATGTTATTTGTTTTATTGGATTCTCCTATTTTTTTTATTAGTCACACTTTATTTTATTGTCACAAAGCAGCTTTACAGTAAATTCAGATCCAATCCCCAAATGAGTGTCGCCAAGGGCAGCAGTGGCAAGTAAAAACTCCCTAAGAGCAAGAGAAAGAAACCTTGAGAGAAACCAAAACTCAAAAGAGGAACCCATCCTCTTCTGGTCGACACTGGATAGCAAAACAATATTTAAAATATAGAAAAGGGAAAAAACAGCCTGTCATTGGACAGAAATATTTAGATTCACCAATGATTAACTGATAACTACTGTTAGAGGCCTATCAGAGTAACATTGAGAAATAAATCTCATTTCAGAGCTGATTTTACTTTGTAGCTCTCTGTGCTGTGTGAGGGCATGCAGAGATTGCTGGTAGGCGGGCAGTAACACTGTTTAACGTTTCTAAAAGCTGCTCTTTGTGCTGACCGCTCTCTCTGTCTGCTCTTGCCCTGTCAGCACAGATCACACAGCTCAGCTCCAACATGTCAGATAAATCCACACACAGAGCATCTCCAGCAGTTCAACACCAGTAAATGTCCTGAAGCAGCTGAAGGCGTTACTGACAGAAATGTGCTGAACAGCAGAGCCTCATCAGAAACACTGCAGATCAGAAACCTTAGAACCTTCAGCAGCTTCACCTTTCTGGACTCTTGTTCCTGAGAGTTCACCTGCAGGAGCTTCAGCTTCTCTACAAACACTGGAGGAGCTTCAGACTGGAGATCGAGTTCAGCTGAAAACAACTGGATTAACAACATACTAAATTTGGTTTTTGACTAAATTTGATTTTTCACTTAGCAGGACGTGATTTAATTGGATGACGCAGAACGTCTTTGTCACGCCCACATGCAGCCAGCTGAAGGGGGGAGTGCATTCACATCCGTCGATGTGGAGGAGCAGTGTAAATGTACCGTAAGGGCTGGATTATACTTTCTGCATCTAGTGTCGCGCGCACGATGACGGAAGCGTTCAGACTGGAAACTGAGTTATTATCAGAGACTGAATAACTTGCACTGTTGCATAGAAGTAAAGGGTGATATTTCTGCCATTTATTGATTGTATGACTGTTCAGAAGAGGAACTGTCCATTCCTTTGTCTTAATCTAAATCGTTTTACAAGCTAAAAGAGTGAAAGAGTTTTTTTTTTCAGAGTTTTTTCTCTATATGGTGAATTCTGAGTTTTGTTTGCTGTTTGAATTTTGTCTCATTTTGAAAAGAGGACACTACTGTGTAAAAGACTGAATCCACCAGTTCTACATGGTCATCCCCGTTTGTTACCTAGTATCTTGGTATTGATTACACAGTTTTTCTTTCAAAAAGAAAAGAGAGCTGAAACTAAGAGAACAAGCACTTTAATTCATTTTTTAAATAAATATTTCTTTTTTTTGGTAATTGCTGTCTCTCTAATTCTACATTTCTCTAGGAGTGGGGCATCTCACCTGTCTTGTTAGATCTGGGGCGGGCGGGTCTAATGCTAGGTCTGACTGATACATGTCTAACTTACATTTCACACTTCAGGTTGCTGCTGTGATTCAGATAATTCCTGAAGCCCACCTTGCCATATCTTTCACATACATACACACTGATCATTCCTTGCAGCAAGATAGGTACCAACATACTACATGGGTGAGTGTTGAGACTGAAAGTATCGGGGGTGGGGACACAGATCCTGTCACTTACTCGATTTTCCTAGATAAAGTGTTAAAAATAATCCCTACTGGGTGGAGGGACCACCCCTGCCTACATATAAAAAAATAAAGGTAGCCAAAAGCTAAAATGGTTGTTAATTTATAGTTATTTTTTAAAAAGCAGTTTAATCTGAGTGCATTTCTCAAGGTTCACATTCATGAAGTAGTTTTGATTTTAGTGTGGAGAAGATTTCCAGGCTTCATTTCCCCTTTTAGAGCACATATGTTGGGTTTTTAGGTCATATAAACAGATCCAGCACTGAAAATGTATTAATAACATCTTGATAATTACAGTTCCAGATCCATCATTGCTCAGACAGTAAGCCAGTTCACCAGCAGAGGGCAGCAGAGAGAGCTCCTAAAATGACCCTGAAGCTCTTACTGTGAGGGTCCATGTTTGTCAGTGTGTGTGGGGCGGGGGCGGGGGCGGGGGGGGGGTGAAGTGTTCCTTCTGACGTTCCACAGTTCCATCCACTGATTGACCTCTCCGTGCTCCGCTCACAAATGAGGACCTTCTTAGCTGCTGTTACCAGGTTAGACCAGCTTCACACAGCACTGGGATTCAGTCTAATCCCATTCAGCCTAATGAGAAACTGTAGAGCTGAACTCAGTTTGTATCAGAGAGCCTAAACTGACCCTCACAGAAATGTCCTGTAGGAGTCCTGAAGGAGTTGGACTCTCTGTTCAGGGATTGTGCAGCTATCAAACAGAACAAACTCCTTCAGGACAGAGTTCGTACCTAAAGAAAGATCCAGCTCTGTTTGTGAGACACACTGACTCAGCTTTATTAACAGACTAGATCAGAAACTGTGATGAAGTCTAGACCGTCTCGCGCTCCGCTCCTCCTCTGCTAGCGGCTCCAGACGCCTTTGATGATCGTCTGAATCTTTTGGAGTTTGAATCATCAACTGTCATTTCTGCTGATCTGAATGAGCCGCTAACAACACGACTAGCAGAGCGTAATTTAACTGGATCAGGAGAGACTTTATCTCATCAAACTGCTCTGTATGATGGGATATTCAGCTTTACTGTGTACTGGGTCTGTTTTTAAGGACTTTTCAGTGTCCAGTGTTAGCTGACCTCATCACTTTTGCACCACATGTTAGCTAGCATGCTAGTGCTAGCCTGTCATCCAAATGAGTTTGGTAAAAACAATTAGCACATTTTAATAACAGCATTTAGCACAACATTCATTCATCCAACAAGTAAACAGTTTTTTTTAAATAATTTCAGTAGCAGTGATGTGAGCTATATGCTGTTTTCTCTGGTGTTTACCTGAACAGAGTAACTTTTGATGCAGCTTTTTATTAACATATTTTAATATTCGATAAATTAACTGCATATAGCTACATTAATGTTCATTTGGTTGTGAAACTGAAGTACCAAATATTTGGTAAATGTACATTTTGATGTATTTCAGTAGCTAAACATGTTGGTTAAAACACTGAATGCTTTAGAATAATGTTCATCTTATTCTATAATGCATTACAATCTACTGCTGGACTTTAACCATCTGCCTGTTTCACTTATACCACATTTTCTGTTTTAATATATTTTAGAGAAATCTGTATAAAATGTGGGGCGGCATGGTGGTGCAGTGGGTAGCGCTGTCACCTCACAGCAAGAAGGGCCTGGGTTTGATTCCTTTCTGTGTGGAGTTTCCTCTCTCCGGTTTCCTCCCACAGTCCAAAGACATACAGCCAGGCCTGTTGGACATGAGTGAATGTGTATGTCTGTCTGTCTGCCCTGTGATGGACTGGCGACCTGTCCAGGGTGTATCCTGTCTTCCACCCAATGACAGCTGGAATAGGCTCCGGCAACCCCCGCGATCCTGAGGAAGAAGCGGCTTAGAAGATGTGTGTGTGTGTGTGTATGAAATGTCCATCCAGATGACCCCTGATGATGTCAGTGGATGTTCAGAGGTTTGTAATGTTCTTCTCTTATTTCTCAAACTCATTCTTGCAGTAATAGTGTAAGGCTGGTTCATAGTTAATAGGATGCTGTACAGACTTTAACAGTGCCTGTTGAAGAAAGAGCTTCGTGATACCAGATATTTATAAGAGTTTATTCAGGACAGTGAATATGATGAGACTGGATCTGTATAATAAGACAGAACACAGTGAAACATGTACAGGTGATGTTATTATTTGGCTGATTAACTATGTACAGATTAAATGTGTACAGACTAATAATCTGAGAATATGGTCACTGTGGATGAACTGAAATATCTCAGCCACACAGTAAACAAAAACAACTGTTCTTTCAGAATGATGTGATAAAGAATATCTGAAGGGTTTCATTCTAAAACACACTGTGGGCCACTTTCAGGACTTTTCTGTTTTTTCATGATCTTGTTGAGAGTGAGCTTTACACTTACAAGTGATATTAATATTGCTATAATTAATACCACCTTTACTCACACTGACACACAAAAACTCTTTCCTGTTACGATGTCAACACAGATCAGACGCTCGCAGGTAAAAGGACAAGGTTGAAGTTTACTTGAGGTTTTGATGGATGTACAGAGGGCGTAGTCAAAACAGGCGAGGGTCAGAACCAGAGAGCTAGAAACCAGTCCGAGTTCAAAAAATCAAAATCTCATACAGGATCCAGCGAACAAACCAAAAAAGGGCAAAGACAAAAAGGGCAGGTCAGAAATATGAAAAACAGGTCATACACGAAAAAACTTGCAAACAAAGAATGCTCAGTACGCAACAAAAAAGGGGTGGCAATACTTCGCAAAGTTCTAAGCTAAAGCCCGGGCTTTATATACAAACTGGCTAATAAGCTGTGATGAAAAACAGGTGTGACAGTTTAGAATTCTGGTGAGGCTGAACGCTGAAATTAATGTTCATTGGTTGATGTCGGTGGAGTAGGAGTCACGTGGTCTCCCACTGATTCATGGGAGTTGTAGTCCTCGGGGCCGTTCAAGGACTCAAGGGATCTGAGCGAAAAGGAACAGGTGGAGGAGGCATCCTCGGCAGAAGGCGTGACAGTTCCTCATTATATTAATGTTATTTATATTTATTTTAATATTACTGATTGTCTAAATACGTAAATACTTGTCAGATAAATAGTTTTTGATATCATTTTCTCAGATGCTTAAAACTTTTGCACAGTACTGTATATATAAATAACACTTTCAGTTACAGTCTGTAAAGTTGTGACTAGTCAGTTTTTCACATCCTAAAATGTTTCTGTGTGAGAAAAGATCCTCATTTACAATGTTGAACAGGTGTGATGATCAGTGGTGCTGAGTTTTTACCTCCATCATTGGGACAGGGGCTAAACAACGGATAGATCTTTTCATTGAAAGACTGACCAGTGAAAGAGTAAATATGACATCTGGACTCAACATCATAGAAGGAGACCAGACCCTCCTCATAATCCACAAACACCCCCACCTTCTGGGGGGCCTGTTTCAGGGAGAGTGGAACAGAGGGAGTGTCCAGAGCTTTATATTCAGTCTCATTCCTCAGACACACAGACCAGTATCCTTTCTTAGGGCTGGCTTTAATCAGACCCTTCCTGTTGAAGGACTCTCTGACCACTCCTATATCCCACTCAGTCTTCCCTCTGACCTGCACCTCATAGTAAAATCTCCCTGAGGAGAACCCCTCCTTTCCCAGAACACAGGCACAACCATCAAACCTCTTTGGATTATCAGGGAGATTCTGTCGAGTGTCTCCATGTGTTACTTGTTTCCCATCATCAGAGAGGATGAGGTATGGCTTTGCTGTTTCAGGATCCAGAGTTACATCCACTGAGAGAAACACACACAATTTAAACCCATTTAAACAACAAACAGCATGAAATAGAGAAGGTACACATATTTAGTTATGTGATCAATAAGAGTCTAAATACCTGCATATTGTTGAATTCTCTTCATTTCTGTTTGAAAAAAAGAAATAAAAGATAATAAAAGTGAGTCCACTCATTTATAATTTTGCTTAAGTAAAATTCAATTCCTCATTAATCTAATCCTAAATAGAGCTCACTGACCTTAACACAGAAGGACATAGAATACAATTTTGCAACACTTGAACATTAATGCTGTAACTTTTAGACCAAAAGACACATCATAAATGGTAAATTTAAAAAATATAAGGTGAAATACAATTTGTTGAATAAAATGTTTGAAAACTGTAAAACCACAAGTAAGACATTAAATCCTAATGAAACTGTTTCAGAGCTCTAATTTGAGGTGACAGTATCAGGTTTAATCATCCAGTCCAGTTCTAATTCGTCTCCTACTGCTCTGGTTTACTATCTAGTTATCAGCTCTCAACTGCATTTATATCTAATAATTAAAGAGAGTTAAATCTACTGAGCTGTTTAAAGTCAAAGGAAACTTATTCAGACTGAACTGAGCAGAAAGTCCAACATCTCACTGAGTTCATCACATGATCTGGTAGAAAGCAGGTTTAAGAGTCTTAAACACCTTTAATATATAGAAATACAGTCATTTAGCTGCTCACTGATAAGAGTTAATCCAGAATGCTGTATTTTTAAGAAGCTGGTTATAAAGATGCTGTTTCCTCTGCTGTCCTGCTCCACTCATCACATTAAAACAGCACAGCATCCTGTTCAGTTTGGGTAGATTGGGCTCAATCCAGAATATCATTTTACCCAAATTTCTACCAAAATAACTGTTCCTCAATTGTGTTTTTCACTGCTATTTACACTAGTCTTTCAGTGAAGATGATCTGTTGAATAACTTTTATTTCAGTTATGAAATATGAAGATATTTGTCAGTTTAAATCCTAATAAACAAATTCTCATAGATGGGAGTTTCTAATATAATAATCCAGGATTTAGCATTGAAATGTACCAAACCTGCATTTCTACCATCAGGACCTTAATGAGTTCTTGAAATCCCATCCTACAGTATAACTCCTCAGAAGCTCTTACTGCTCAGTAACACTTACTGATGTCAGGAAGCTTCTCCATCTCCTCACTGAGTGATTGCTGAAGCTGAGACAGAGCTCCCCTCAGAGTCTCCACACTCAGATGAGTCTTAATACTGACGTCAGTCCAGTTCTTGGTGAGTGGACGGCTGCAGAGGGACGGGTAAACCTACAGTCCAGCAGGAGAGAGGAGAAATCCCTCAGCATGGGCAGTGCTGTCCTGTGCTGGACTGCATTACTATTGAGAAACAGAGGGACTCTGACCTGTAGGAGGTGGAGGTGGTCCTCAGTGTGTGAGAGCTGCTCCAGCTCAGTGTCTCTCCGCTTTAGCTCAGTGATTTCCTGCTCCAGCTCTTTAATGAACTCTTCAGCCTGCCTCTCTGCTGCTTTCTGCTTCTCCTCCATCACCTCAAGCAGCTCCGCCTGGCTTCTCTCAATGCAGCTCAGCAGAGCTCTGAAGACCTCCACACTGTCTGCTTTCTCCTTCTCTGTGTTTCTCTGAAAGGGGACAAATCAGATTCTGTGTCTGTTCACTGTATTTTTGTACAAGCTTCCAGAAGGGGGAGTTTCACTGTGTAGTTTGAGAGGTTTATTGTTCCAATAACGGATCTAAAAACTATGAAGATGAAGTAAAAGCACTGATAGCCGTTTTCTAACCTTCTTATAGCCCATCTGTGTACACTATACAAAGGATCACCACCCTTGTAAACTTACTGTTCAAATTAGCACAACGTAAAATATAGACATGAATTCATTATAAAATAACTTTACCATTATTTGCAAAATATATAATAAAAACAACTAGTTAATTCCATGCCAACTCACCTAGGACCTCTCCGTCTGTCTGTTCAGCCTGTCCTTTACCAATTTAATTCAATATTCATCATCATCATCATCATCATTAACTGCTTAATCCAGTTAGGGTCGCGGTAGCAGTTGGGAGAGCAGAGAATCCCAGATGACCCTGTCCCCTGCAACTTCCTCCAGCTCATTCCAGGGGACCCCAAGCTGCTCTCAGGCCAACTTGGAGATATAATTCCTCCAACGGGTCCTAGGACGACCAAGGGATCTTGTCCCAGTAGGCCTGGTAAACCCCACTGGGAGGTGTTCAGGATCAGATACCCGTACCACCTCAATTGGCTCCTCTCAATTCGTAGGAGTAGCGGCTCTACTACGAGCTCCTCAGGGATGTCCAAGCTCCTCACCCTATCAAGCTAATTCTTTTGGTCATTATCCACAGCTCATGACCATAGGTGAGGGTCGGGATGTAGACCGACCAGTAAACAGAGAGCTTTGCCTTATGGCTCAGCTGCCTCTTCACCACTACAGTCTGGTACAGTGACTGCATTACTGCTGCTGCCTGTCCCAGCCTGTGGTCGTTCTCAACATCCCTCTTCACATCACTCGTGAACAAGACTCAGAGATACTTAAGTTCCTTCACCTGAGGCAGGTCCTTTCCCCTTACCTGGAGTGGAATGCCATCCTTTTCCGGGCTAGGACCATGGACTTGGAGGTGCTGATCCGCATACCAACCACTTCACACTCAGCTGCAAACCGTTCCAGTGAGCGCTGGAGGCATCCATGCGATCCAACCAAATGGACATTATCATCTGCAAATTGCAGAGACGCCACCCTCCGGCCTCCACGCATAATGCTCTCCTGACCTCGGCTACGCCTTGACACCCTGTCCACAAATATCACGAACAGGAGTGGAGAAAAGGCACAACCTTGGTGGAGTCCAACACTAACACTGAATGAGCCTGACCTAATGCAGAGTATATAAACACAATTCTCACTCTGGGCGTACAGAGACCAAATGGCTCACAGTAGTAGTCCCGGCACCCCATACTCCCGGAGGACCTCCCACAACATATCTCGGAGAACACAGTCGTAAGCCTTCTCTAAGTCCACGAAACATATGTAGACTGGGTTGGCAAACTCCCATGCCCCTCAACAATCTGTGAAAGGGTGAAAAGCTGGTCCATTGTTACATGGCAACAGTTCAGAATCTTATGAAGAAAATATCCCATAATATCTCATAACTAAAAACTAATTAGAGTGCAGCTTTCAATTCTTGCATGGATTCAACAGTTAAATTGAAGGTTTTGCTCAATTTTTTTCATGAAAGTCTGTGAAGTAACTGGACGCAACTAAAGTAGTAAAGCCTTATCTTTGCTCAAATGGTCACAACATCCCAGTCCTTAATGGCTGATGGGCAACAAAATAGAACAAAACAAAATTTACCACTGTTTATAATGTTCAATGTTCAACAGTCATTTCTAAATTAATTAAACACATATTTTAATTGAACATATTTTGGACGAATATTTTGAGATCAAAAAGATTGTAAAAATGTTGATTAACTGTAGGATGTAATCTTACTTATGTATGATTATGAATGGACAGTATCTTTGACTCACTTTGTTGAGCTCTACACAGTGTTTGATTTCCTCAATCTTCTTTAGTTCGTCCTGGATCATCTGCTGAACTTCTGCCTGGGTCTTCATCAGCTGAATCTATAGAAATTAAACACATCATGAGCCAATCATTGATTTGAGGACATTTTTATCATAGAAAAACACACAAGCTAATAATTGTCTAAATGTCCCTCACCTTCTTCTGTCCACTCTCCTCCTCTACAGGAACAGTGCTGTGAGTCTTGTGGTCTCCCTCAGTGCAGAACTGACACACACACGTCTGGTCGTCTCTACAGAACAGCTCCAGGGGTCTCTGGTGTTTCTGGCAGATGTAGTCCTCCAGGTTCTCCACAGGGTCCATCAGTTTGTGTTCCTTTAATGAAGAAACTCTCTGATGAGGTTCCAGATGAATCTTGCAGTAAGAGTTCACACAGCTCAGACAGGACTTTAGAGCCTCCAGCTTTTCCTCAGTGCAGGATTCACACAGCACCTTTTTAGGTTTGGAGGGAGGTTTTTCTGGAGCTCTGCTGGACTTCACCTGATCTGACTTCCTGAACTGAGCAGCCAGTCCAGAGATGAACGTGTTCACACGTAGCTCAGGCCTTTTGGAGAACTCCTCCTTACAAAATGGACACTGGCAGCGTGGACTGCTGTCCCAGCACTCTTTGAGACACACCATGCAGAAGTTGTGTCCACATGGAGTCGAGACTGGATCAGTGAACACATCCAGACAGAGAGAGCACTGGAGCTGATCTTCAGACAGGACACTGCTGGAGGAAGCCATGACTGACTGAGGAGACAGAGAGACATCATGAAGGGGATCTGAGACGAGAGCTGAGCAGCACTGAGAAAACTCAATATGGAGACATTGTACACACATCTCACAGCGTAACGGTAACAGATGGTATTTAAAGTGGCATTAGTTAATAGTGCTGCTACTCTGTGCTAAAAGAATGTCTTACAGATCTAATATAGTTTGTATTTATTGGACTATTTTGTTCTGTTTTCTTCTCTTAAAACGACACCAAAGGGAACCAGACAGAACACACAAAGGATATTTAATTTATATTTAATATTTATGTATTTTGAACTGTTCTTTAAAGCAATCTGACCCGTCAGATGACACACACTGCAGTTACCTGTGACGTTCTGGATATCATGAGTAAAGAACTCAAAATAGAGTTAAAAAGCTAAAAACTACCTGCTTGGCAACAGAGACCATCATGGATATAATGCTGATTATCTATCAAATATATTGCTATCAATATGACTAAATCTGAAAAGTGATCATTTTCAAAATCATCCTGAGATAATTATCTATAGATCATTTTCTCAGCATAATGATCTTGAGATATATAGAGAAAAACTAAAAGTATTCCTCACTCCACCCTGTAGATGCCAATACCTCATTCAGACAGTGTCCCTTTCACTGCTACCTCTCCAAGCCCACTGTCCGTGTTTCAGGCCTGGAAGTTGTGTATCTGATATTGGAGCTATTCTGATGGAAACTGACCACTATATAGCTCTTTATTCTGAACTCAGTCTCAAACACAAAGACACCTCAAACAGTGTACTGATGCCATCTAGAGTACAAAGAAGATGCCTCACCCTTACATTCACTCCAGAAAAGTGTCTTCAGATAAATATCCTGACAAATGTGTCGAGATAATTATACAGAGAAAACATCTTGAGAAGATTATCTTAGGAAAAAAAGGTCATTTTGGAGGCAGGAGATTTTTTTACTCATTGTAGAAACACCAAAGCATTTCTTTTCTACACGTCCCTTTGTGGAAGAAACGTATCAAAATAATTCATAAACTGAAATAAACACATGAATGAATGAATGAATAAATAATTAAATAACGTGGCATAAAGCAAAAAGAAGTACATGTGAAGAATAAAACGATAAATAAAGAGATTAATACATATAAGTATGTATGCATAAATAAATGAATGTGTATACATGCATATGAGCAGAAATACTGAAATAAATGAATTACTATTTTACTTTTTTTTATTTCTGTATTTCATTCTCCAGTCTATGCTAATGAGGTGGTTAACACTCAAGTTTTCATCGGGCTCGGGTCAGTACCAGAACCTCTAACTCTGTCCTTCAGGACACTCAGACAATGACCCAGATAGAACAGTTTACTGCAGCATGATCTTTTATATTTATGATATTGTTGTAGGCAGAAGAGTTTTACTGAACGACGGATCAACGTGTTAAAATATCAGCTAAAATCAGAATCAGAATCACTTTATTTCTCCAAGTATGTCACACATACGAGGAGTTTGTCTTGGTGAGTGCTCACATGACATGTTAACACACTAATAACACATATTCCACAGAAAATAAGTCAGTTGACTAAGGAACACATGAAATGACAATAAAATAAATATATATAAATATAATCCAACATATATAAATAACTAAAGACAAGGAAAATTATTTTTGTTCATACTGTAAAAGGCAATTCAGTGTGCTTTACATAAATAAAACCAAAAGAAAAAATAGAGATAAACTATAAAAATAAAAAGACATATAAAAGTGATAAAAATACAAAAAAAAGCATTTTAAGAACGTCACTGTTGATGAAACATTTCTGTTTCTGACCCACATTTTCTGTTAAATCAGTGTTTTTACTCTTTTCTTCTGTTTTTAAGAATCAACAGTCAACAGTGCTGAGTCACTGCAAGTTCTGTTGATGTTCTGTTGTAAATCTTTAAATAAATACACATTAAATAAAAAGTAAAAAAAGTAAAAAACAGTTTACAGGTGAAATTGCAGAGAAGAAGCAATATAGAGAGAAAGAGCGAGGGAGAGGGAGTGATTGAGCAATACATGTGAGAGAGAGAGTTAAAAAAGAGACAGAGGGAGGTAGAGAAAGAGCTAGAAAGAGAGAGGGAGCGATAGAGCGAGAGAGAGCATGATAGAGATACAGAGACAGATGGTGGGTCAGAGAGAGAGAAACTAAGATAGATAGATATAGATAGACAGAGAAAGACAGAGACAGAGAGAGAGAGAGAGAGAGAGGATGAATCATCTCAGTCCTGCAGTGAACTGAGCTGAGCTCCGGATCTTTACACACCCAGCCAACGCCCTGATAGACCACCCATCACCCAGCCCTGTTTGAGACCACCCAGAACACGACCCCCCGGTTGATGATGACCCCCTGATCATTCAGTAACGCTGTGCCCAGTGTTTAGTGATCAGATCAGACTCTGAAAGACAGTGAACTGTATGAGAGTGAAATCAGTCCCATTGGTCTGACTGATCAGCTCCACACTCCACCTCTTTAACGGCTCTAAAAGCTGCTCTTTGTGCTGACCGCTCTCTCTGTCTGCTCTCGCCCTGTCAGCACAGATCACACAGCTCAGCTCCAACATGCCAGATAAATCCACACACAGAGCATCTCCAGCAGTTCAACACCAGTAAATGTCCTGAAGCAGCTGAAGGCGTTACTGACAGAAATGTGCTGAACAGCAGAGCCTCAGCAGAAACACTGCAGATCAGAAACCTTAGAACCTTCAGAAACACTGCAGATCAGAAACCTTAGAACCTTCAGCAGCTTCACCTTTCTGGACTCTTGTTCCTGAGAGTTCACCTGCAGGAGCTTCAGCTTCTCTACAAACACTGGAGGAGCTTCAGACTGGAGATCGAGTTCAGCTGAAAACAACTGGATTCTGTTCACGAAGCAGCTTCGCGCTTTACTTTCGCTTCTCCGGGGTGACGTCACTAGGTCACGCCCATCGTTTCAACGCGGCAGTGTGTTGCAGTTGCGAGTTTCGGCCACCAGGTGGAGGAGTTTAATAACTGAATTACAGAGTCCTAATGTCCATCTTTTTCACAGCAAAGACAGAAACACTTCACCTTCTTCAACAGTGTGAAAGTGGATCTGACTGAATGAAGATGTTTAATGTGCTACTTAATCTGAGCTGTTTTACAGACATTAGACCCTTTAAGTGCTGTCAGTTTTCTGATCTTCTGGTTTGAAGAATTTCCTTTAATTTTACAATTGGATTCTGTTAAAATGTTTTATAGAGTAAAAGCAACCAAACGTTTCTAAAATCCTCCCAAAAAGTATAGTGTTTTTTCCAAGAAGTTTCATGTGAGTGCATTTCTCAAGGTTCCCATTCATGAAGTAGTTTAATTTTAGTGTGGAGAAGATTTCCAGGCTTCATTTCCCCTTTTAGAGCACATATGTTGGGTTTGTAGGTCATATAAACAGATCCAGCACTGAAAATGTATTAATAACATCTTGATAATTACAGTTCCAGATCCATCATTGCTCAGACAGTAAGCCAGTTCACCAGCAGAGGGCAGCAGAGAGAGCTCCTAAAATGACCCTGAAGCTCTTACTGTGAGGGTCCATGTCTGTCAGTGTGTGTGTGTGTGTGGGGGGGGAGTGAAGTGTTCCTTCTGATGTTCCACAGTTCCATCCACTGATTGACCTCTCCTTGCTCCGCCCACAAATGAGGACCTTCTTAGCTGCTGTTACCAGGTTAGACCAGCTTCACACAGCACTGGGATTCAGTCTAATCCCATTCAGCCTAATGAGAAACTGTAGAGCTGAACTCAGTTTGTATCAGAGAGCCTAAACTGACCCTCACAGAAATGTCCTGTAGGAGTCCTGAAGGAGTTGGACTCTCTGTTCAGGGATTGTGCAGCTATCAAACAGAACAAACTCCTTCAGGACAGAGTTCATACCTAAAGGAAGATCCAGCTCTGTTTGTGAGACACACTGACTCAGCTTTATTAACAGAATAGATCAGAAACTGTGATGAAGTCTAGACCGTCTCGCGCTCCGCTCCTCCTCTGCTAGCAGCTCCAGACGCCTTTGATGATTGTCTGAATCTTTTGGAGTTCGAATCATCAGCTGTCGTTTCTGCTGATCTGAATGAGCCGCTAACAACACAACTAGCAGAGCGTTATTTAACTGGATCAGGAGAGACTTTATCTCATCTAACTGCTCTGTATGATGGATATTCAGTTTTACTGTGTGCTGGGTCTGTTTTTAAGGAGTTTTCAGTGTCCAGCGTTAGCTGACCTCATCACTTTTGCATCACATGCTAGCTAGCATGCTAGTGCTAGCCTATCATCCAAATGAGCTTGGAAAAGTAATTAGCACATTTTAATAAGAGCATTTAGCATAATAATAAGCAGAAAGGCTCAACATTCATTTATCAAAAAAGTAAACAGTGTTTTTTAATAATTTCAGTAGTAGTGATGTGAGCTATATGCTAACAATGAAGCTAACTTTAAACTAGCTAGCTGCTGTTTTCTCTAGTGTTTACCTAAACAGAGTAATTTTGAAACAGCTTTTCATTAATATATTTTAATATTTAATAAAGTAATTGTTGGTAACATCATTAATATTAATTTCATAAAAATTGTGGAATTAATTTAGGAAACTGGCAAAAATACAGTGATTTATTTCTTTATTTACATTGTTCACTCGTTCACTGTGTAAATTAATTTTTATACAGTTCTGCAACTTTTAATCCAGCAAGATATAAACATATAAATGCAAATCAACCTGAAAAACATTAAGAACTAAAATAAATGTCTAGTTGTGTAAAAAGTGGTTGATATCCTGTGAGCTAGTTTGAAGAACACAGTCTGGTTCCAGGTTTCTCCTGGACGCCTCCAGAGACCACATGGATTATTAAATTCCATTAGAAGCAGCTGGTTTAACATAATGAAGCACTGATTAGATAAAGCAGGTATTGGATGAACACTAAAATAATGCTGGGCTTCGGTTAAACAAAGACACAGACAAACAAAATATTTGCCCATCGTTTAGTATCATGTGTGTTTTTTATTTCATCTGAACAAATAAACACCGACCAGATAAACAACTTTAATTTTAGTTCAGTTTCAGGTGCATAAAACTTTTGCTCAGTACTGTATAAATAAAACAGTACTTTCAGTTTCAGTCTGTAAAGCTATGATGAGTAATTTTTATTGTGATATCCTAAAATATTTCTGTGTGAGAAAAGATCCTCATTTAGAGTGTTGAACAGGTGTGATGATCAGTGGTGCTGAGTTTTTACCTCCATCATTGTTGCAGGGGCTAAAGTATGGATAGAGTTTCTCAGTGAAAGACTGACCAGTGAAAGAGTAGATATGAGATCTGGCCTCAACATCATAGAAGGAGACCAGACCCTCCTCATAATCAACAAACACCCCCACCTTCTGGGGAGCCTGTTTCAGGGAGAGTGGAACAGAGGGAGTGTCCAGAGCTTCATATTCAGTCTCATTTCTCAGCCACACAGTCCAGTATCCATCCTCAGGGCTGGCTTTAATCAGACCCTTCCTGTTGCTGGACTCTCTGACCACTCCTAAATCCCACTTAGTCTTTCCTCTGACCTGCACCTCATAGTAAAATCTCCCTGAGGAGAACCCCTCCTTTCCCAGAACACAGGGACACATCGATCAAACCTCTCTGGATTATCAGGGAGATTCTGTTCTGTGTCTCCACATATAACTTGTTTCCCATCATCAGAGAGGATGAGGTATGAATTTGCTGTTTTAGAATCCAGATTTACATCCACTGAGAGAAACACACACAATTTAAACCCATTTAACAACAAACAGCATGAAATAGAGAAGATACATATATTTAGTCATGTGATCAATAAGAATCTACAAACCTGCATATTGTTGAATTCTCTTCATTTCTGTTTGAAAAAAGGAATAAAATACAATAGAAGTGAATCCACTAATTTATAATTTTACTTAAGTAAAATTCAATTCCTGATTAATCTAATGCTCAATAGATCTCACTAAACTAAACACAGAAGGACATAGACTACAATTTTGTAACACTTGAACATTAATGCTGTAACTTTTAGACCAAAAGACACATCATAAATTGCAAATTTAAAAAAATGTTCAGTAAAATACAATTTGTTGAATAAAATGTTTGAAAACCGTAAAGCCCATAAGTAAGACAATAAATACTAATGAAACTGTTCCAGAGCTCTAATTTGAGGTGACAGTATCAGGTTTAATCATCCAGTCCAGTTCTAATTCGTCTCCTACTGCTCTGGTTTACTATCTAGTTAGCAGCTCTCAACTGCATTTATATCTAATAATTAAAGAGAGTTAAATTTACTGAGCTGTTTAAAGTCATAGGAAACTTATTCAGACTGAACTGAGCAGAAAGTCCAACATCTCACTGAGTTCATCACATGATCTGGTAGAAAGCAGGTTTAAGAGTCTTAAACACCTTTAATATATAGAAATACAGTCATTTAGCTGCTCACTGATAAGAGTTAATCAAGAATGCTGTATTTTTAAGAAGCTGGTTATAAAGACGCTGTTTCCTCTGCTGTCCTGCTCCGCTCATCACATTAAAACAGCACAGCATCCTGTTCAGTTTGGGTAGATTGGGCTCAATCCAGAATATCATTTTACCCAACTTTATATCAAAATAACTGTTCATCACTAATCTGTAGTATTTCGGTTTAGTTTTTCCATCAAAGTATATTCAGTATAGTATTTTAAAATGAAATGATAAACTGATTCTCATAGATGGGAGTTTCTAATATAGAATAATCCAGGATTTTGTACTGAAATGTTCCAAACCTGCATTTCTACCATGAGGACCTTGATGAGTTCCTGAAATCCTGTCCTACAATAAAACTCCTCAGAAGCTCTTACTGCTTAGTAACACTTACTGATGTCAGGAAGCTTCTCCATCTCCTCACTGAGTAACCGCTGAAGCTGAGACAGAGCTCTCCTCAGAGTCTCCACACTCAGATGAGTCTTAATACTGACGTCAGTCCAGTTCTTGGTGAGTGGACAGCTGCAGAGGGACGGGTAAACCTACAGTCCAGCAGGAGAGAGGAGAAATCCCTCAGCATGAGCAGTGCTGTCCTGTGCTGGACTGCATTACTATTGAGAAACAGAGGGACTCTGACCTGTAGGAGGTGGAGGTGGTCCTCAGTGTGGGAGAGCTGCTTCAGCTCAGTGTCTCTCCTCTTTAGCTCAGTGATTTCCTGCTCCAGCTCTTTAATGAACTCTTCAGCCTGCCTCTCTGCTGCTTTCTGCTTCTCCTCCATCACCTCAAGCAGCTCCGCCTGGCTTCTCTCAGTGCAGCTCAGCAGAGCTCTGAAGACCTCCACACTGTCTGCTTTCTCCTTCTCTGTGTTTCTCTGAAAGGGGACAAATCAGATTCTGTGTCTGTTCACTGTATTTCTGTACAAGCTTCCAGAAGGTGGAGTTTCACTGTGTGGTTTGAGAGGTTTATTGTTTCAATAACGGATCCAAAAGCTATGAAGATGAAGTAAAAGCACTGATAGCCGTTTTCTGACCTTATTATGGTAATCACCTCCCTTGTATTGTACCTCTTCTTGATTTTTTGGAGTTTTAAATATTGTGAACATGTTGATTATCCGAAGGTTGGAATGTTATATATTATTAGAACAGACAGTAATAACTGCAGAATAATTCACTGTTGAAACTCAGACTCACTTTGTTGAGTTTTACAGAGTGTTTGATTTCCTCAATCTTCTTCAGTCGGTCCTGGATCATCTGCTGGACTTCTGCCTGTTTCTTCACCAGCTGAGTCTGTAGAAATTAGATCATTATAACAAAGTCAGTCATTAATTTGAGAACATTTTATCATGTACAAACATAAGAGATACTAATTCATCATCTAATTGTCCCTCACCTTC